GACCCGCGGACGAGGACCCGCGCAAGCCCCTTTCCCGGCGGCGCGTCCGCAAACGCGCGCCGCGCCTGTGACCGGCGCCTCTCGGAGCGAGTGCGCGAAGGCCGCGGAAGGCGCCCCATGGGCGGCCAGGGGGCAGCAGCGAGCCGCCGCTCCGGCCCCCGGAAAGGCGCTGCCTCCATCCCTCCGCCCCCCTCCTCCGGAGGGAGCCCGGCTTAAAGCAGCCGCGCCTGGATTCTTGCGCTCGGCTCCGTCTTCCTCCCGCGGGGAAAAGGGACTGCGGTAGCGGCGCGCCCAAAACGCAGCGACCGGCTGGGACGCCGGAGTCTCCAAACCGGGCAAGGCAGGCGAGTGCCGTGCCAACCTCCAGGGGGTGGCTGGAGAGCTCCCGGAATTGCAACTGGCCGGTGCTGGTACACGTTAAATAATCCACTTTCGATGTACTTCCCAACTGGAGGATGTACTAAAAGGAAGGACAGGATTCCGCATTTTTATTGCAACTCTTTTGTTATTGTTGTTCAGTCGCACAGTCGAGTCCGACTCTTCGCGACCCCATGGACCAGCTCCCTCCAGGCCCTCCGGTCTTCCGCCATCCTCTGAAGATGGGCCTTCCAGCGTCTCCCATTGTTTCCAATGGGCAATCCTGTCCTTCCTTTTAGTACATCCCCCCCAACTGGTGCACTTCCCAACTGGATTTTACCGTGTGAACCAGCAACATCCAGTTGGAAAGTGCATTGAAAGTGGATCGTTCAGTGTGTGTGATCGCAGGCCTGGTCTCGATAGATCCAGGTGGGTAGCCCTGTTGGTCTGGGTCTTGTAGCAGCAGAAAAGAGCAAGAGTCCAGCCGCATCTTAAAGACTGGCAAAATCTGTGGCAGGGGAGGAGCTTTTGCCAGTCACAGTTCTGACGAAGCCAAGCGGTGTGACTCAGGAGAGCTCCTCCCCTGCCGCAAATTTTGCCCGTCTTTCAGGTGCTGCTGGACTCTTGCTCTTTTCTGCTGGCCTCCAGACGAAAGAGGTCAGCTCACCTGGAGAAAATGGCCACTTCCGAAGGAAGGTGGACTCCATGGCCTTAGACCCCATTGACATCCCTGCCCTCCCCAAACTCCACCCCCTCAGGCTCCACCCCCAAAAACTCCAGGTGTTTCCCAACAAGCTGGCAACCCTATAAATATTAGCATTAAAGTATTAAAAACTCTTTTTGTAGCAGGAACTCCTTTGCATATTAGGCGACACACACCCTAATGTAGACAATCCTCCAAGAGCTTACAGAGCTTCTCTTGGGGGATTGGCTACATTAGGGGGGGTGTCGCCCAGGGCTCTTTTTGTAGCAGGAGCTCCTTTGCATATTAGGCGACACTCCCCTAATGTATCCAATCCTCCGAGAGCTTACAAAGCTCTTCTTACAGGGGCCGCTGTAAGCTCTTGGAGGATTGGCTACATTAGGGGCGTGTCGCCTACTATGCAAAGGAGTTCCTGCTACAAAAAGAGCCCGAGGGTGTGCACTAATGCTCCCTCGAAGCTGTGGAGTCCTGTGAGCAAAAATTCTACTTTGTGAGCCGCTGGCATTAAAGTGGTGAGCCAGTGATTTGGCTGCTGCATACCTTAGTCTGCTCTGGAGCCCTCCTTCCTGAGCAAAGACAAAAATGGGTGAGATGGAGGCTAAAAAACTGTGAGATAGCTCACACTCAGCTTAGAGGGAACACTGGCTGGGCATGTTGGCTCATAAATCAGGCCCGTTGTCCTCGATGAGGTAAGCTGGGAGATCGCCTGCTACTGCAACTGACCTCCAGATGACCGAAATCAGTTCCCCTGGTGAAAATGGCTGCTTTGGAAGGTGGGTTCTAGTATGGATGCCAGCCTCCAGGTGGGACCTGGGGATCCCCTGGAATTCCAGCTCATCTCCAGACTGCAGAGATCAGTTCCCCCTGTAGAAAACAGATGCTTTGGAGGGGGGGATTGCACCCCACTGAGGTCCCTGTCCTCCCCAGGCTCCATCCCCAAATCTCCAGGAGTTTCCCAGCCTGGATCTGGCAACCCTAACCCCCACCCACCCACACCTCCCTCTAGTGGCGAAGGTAGACTTGGCAACTCTAGCTCTATGGCACTGTATCCTGCTGAGGCCCCTCCCCTAACTCCCTCCTCTACAGGCTCCACCCCCAAAATCTCCAGGTACTTCCCCATCCAGAGCTGGCCTCTACTTCACCTCTACCATGAAGTCACAAGGAGGCCTCAGGGTTGCCGTCCTCCAGGCCACGTGAGGCCTGGAAATTCCCAGAAGTACAACTTGTCTCCAGACGACAGATCAATACCCCTGGAGAAAAGGGCTGCTTCAGACATAAGATGAGCTCTTCGGGATCAGACTGGGGGTCCATCCAGTCCAGCATCCTGTCTCGCACAGGGGCCAACCAGTTCCCCTGGAGGGCCAGCAACAGGGCATAGGGGCTGAGGCCTTCCTAATAACATCAGAAGAGCCCTTGCTGGATCAGACCAGTGAGAGTCCATCTGGTCTAGCATCCTGTCTCATACAGTGGCCAACCAGTTCCTTTTGTCTGTCCTGAACCTACTGCCCATCCGCTTCATTGGATACCCTCCGGTTCCAGGATTTTGGGAGGATGGACTCTATGGTATTGGATCCCGCTGAGGTCCCTCCCCCCTCCAAGCCCTGCCCTCCCCAGGCTCCACCCCCTGAATCCCCAGGAATTTTCCAACCATGAGCTGGCAACCCTACCTCGGGCAAACCACCCCTCTCCCAGCCTCAGCACCCTCTATGCCCCCACCACTTCCTCAATAACACTGACCTACTTTGCAGGGCTGTTGTAAAGATGACAAGAGTGGGAATGTGGAATGCTTTGAGCGCTCAAAAGCGCTGACCGGGTGTCACCAAGTGTAATTTTTAGCTGTCCGTTTATTTCTAAAGTCTTTCCCAGACTCCTGCGGCACAGCCTCCAGTCCAGGCTTTGAACGCCTTCTCTGTAGTGCCCACCCCATGGAATGGCCCGCCTGAGGAGGTCTGGACCTCCTCCTCAGGTCTGGAAGTGAGAGCCAGTTTGGGGTAGCGCAGTGTTCCCTCTAAGCTGAGTTAAGTGTGAGCTAGCTCACAGTTTTCTAGCCTCCGGCTCACACATTTTTGCCGTAGCTCAAGAAGGATGGCTCCAGAGCAAACTAATTTATGCAGGAGCCAAACTGCTTGCTCACAGCTTTAATGCCAGGAGCTCAGAAAGTAGGATTTTTGCTCACAAGACTCCACAGCTTAGAGGGAACATTGGGGTAGTGGTTGGGAGCACGGACTGTAATGTGGGAGAACGGGGTTTTATTCCCCACTCCTCCACGTGAGGCTGCTGGTGTGACCTTGGGTCAGTCACAAGTTCCTTCAGAGCTGTTCTCTCAGGGAGGGGGGCGCGCGTGCATGAGAAGACTGGCCGCTTAGCTCCGGAGCTCGTCTGTTCCCTGATCCTAACGGCTAATCAAATAGTAACCGAAGTAAACATATGGAAAAGAAAAGTAAAGAAAAGAAAGCCCTATACAAGTACAAACCGGCACGAGTGAGTATCGGAGCGGAAAGCAGCTACTTTAAGCTGAAATCGGCAGAAACAGCCCAAAGTGGCTTAACGGCCGCAGCTAAAATGGCGACCGGACTGTCTAAGGACCCGGTATTTATTTATTTATTTATTTATTTATTTATTTGGATTTGTATCCTGCCCTCCCCGAAGGCTCAGGCAAACCACCCTCAATACAGGGTATCAACCTCCATACTCACCAAAAACGATTTATCAGAGATGGAAGAATGCTTAATGGCCAAACGGGGGGCACTATTGGAGCCAGAGCTGTTCTTTCAGGAGCAGTCCTGGAAAGAGCTCTCTCAGCCCCACCAATGTTCCCTCTAAGCTGTGGAGTCCTGTGAGCAAGAATTCTTTTTTGTAAGCGACTGGCGAGCGATTTGGCTGCTGCATCAATTCGTTTGCTCTGGAGCCATCCCTTCCTGAGCTAGGACAAAAATGTGTGAGCCGGAGGCTAAAAAACTGTGAGCTAGCTCACACTATGCTCATCTCCGTTACAAAGCCGAAGAGCCAGCGCTGTCCGAAGACGTTTCCGTGGTCATGTGGCCGGCATGACTAAACACCAAGCCGACCGGAACGCTGCGGGTAGTGAAGGGCAGGGTATAAATCCAATCTCTTCTCCTCCTCCTCCTCCCACACTCCAAGCTTTTTGCAAACTGTGGCATTGTCCAGAAGGGCATTTTTATAAAGGAAACAGGGCTCTACCAGTGTTCCCTCTAAGCTGAGTTAGTGTGAGCCGGCTCACAGTCTTTTAGCCTCCGGCTCACACGTTTTTGTCTCAGCTCAGGAACGGACGGCTCCAGAGCAAACTAACTGATGCAGGAGCCAAATTGCCCGCTCACAACTTTAACGCCAGTCGCTCACCAAGTAGGATTTTTGCTCACAAGACTCCACA